TTTGGATCGAGGGCCAAGATTTGTCTACCTTCATGAGGACTTGTTACAATTTGTAGTGCATTATTGGTTTGTGCAGGATTATTATGTGTTTATTAACAAGCATCATATTGTGGAAAGCATTAGAGTTTTATTTTGTAGTAAAAGTTTGGTTTTGAGAGGATTTTGTTGATGGAAATTGGGGGAGTATAATTTTTTTATGTAATCAAATGCTATACATTCTTGTTTGCTGCTATTTGCCCCCAGATATATAATGTGTTGATTTGTGAAAGTTTTATTAAATTTTGCTTATTTATTAATCTTGTGTGTTGCATTCAACAATTGTTTTTATTAAATAATTTCTAAAATTTGAATTAAGTTTTTCTATTTTATTCCATTGAAATCAACACTTCGAAAATTTTACTTAAATAATTTGAGCTTTTTTATTTTAAGCTAGATAATTAGAAAATTTGACAGGCCAATTCCTGATCAATCCACTAAATTTGACATGCTATACAATAGGGATGCTTTAATGGAGTCATTATTAATTAATTAGTTCACTTTTATTATATTCACAAACTGATTACATGACTTAAAGTCTTAAACAAGAGTACAAGACAATAAGCGTTGATGGGCTGGCCAAACCCATTATATTAGGATATTTGGGCTTACCCCAATTAGATGGCGAACCCAAGAACGACCCGAAACAAATCTGAATGTTCCATAATACATTGGGCCACTTTTAATTCAATTTAGGTTATGCCATGAGCCCAGCCCTTCCCAGGAAGACGCATTTCATTTAAGGGCTAAAAAAGAATTTCTATTTATATTTCAATTATAAGAAAAAAAAAAAAAATCAACAGGTTCAAATCACCCAATTGCTACCACTCTTTTTATAGGTCCTCCATATGCTTATAATTAAAATTAAATTATACAGGAATGAAAATACAAATATTTTAAAAAAAAAAATAAAAATAAAAATAATATAATTTCATGGTCCATAGATGGGCTATTTAAAACCCCCACAAATAATACAAGGCTTGTTTAAAAACTAAAAAATTGTCATAGCTTAGGTCTTCAATATATATTGTACATTAAAAAAGAAAAAAAACTTTATCCAGTAATATATAAGAAAAATGAAAAAAAAAAAAAAAAACATCGTACGATTTTGCAAATAATTGTGTCTTATCAGCTGTTTGAGTCAAGGGATAAAGATGATAAGATGAGTGAGGGGACATCAATTAGTGAGTAAACAATGTTTTTGTCTCCCTAATGGACACTTAATTTGTTTCATGTTAGAAATTTCAACTGTTTTATTTTGCTTATGAATCCAACTCAAATCTACTGAACATTATGAATATATTTAATAATAAAAAACTAATTATTAATATACAACATCCAACAAATTTATAATTCACCATAATTTACCATCATTATTTTACTACTTGTATATCATATATATATATATATATTAACTTAATTTATTTGTTACATTAATTTAATTCATATCCACTCACAAACTCAAAATATATCTATATATGCTTCAGTTTATATAATCTATATTAATTATAAAGTGATAGATGTTTCAATGCTGTTAATTAAATGATGATGGGATTTCTATTACATTATTATATAGGCCTAAAATTCCAAAAATGCCACCAGAATAAACTAATTTTGTCTCCCTCGTCTCATATCATGCGCGCGGCTGCGCATGCACCATAAAACACATGCATTTTTCGTATTTATTATGCTTTTGACTCTCGGAACAAAAACAAAGTGCTGCAGCTCTATGTGTTTCCAAAGATTAAGGGGTCAACGAAGGTTGACTGCCTCTTTATTCTTCCAAAAAATTCCTGCATCAAATCTAATTTGCTCAAAGGGGCTTCCAAACTTCACTATTTCAACCTCCCATCCACAAACTGCCATGCACTATCACAAGGTACATATATGATATATAAATTAAAAACCATTTGTTTGAATTATTTTCTTTTGTGAACAGTACAAATTGACAAAAAGGTCCTTCCTTGCAGATTTGAAGTCACATATTGGCCTGAGTAAAATCAAGCTTCATACATATGCATATGCTGCAATGCACCATATATATTTGGATTTCACATCGCGTTTCGTGTTTTAGAAAGTGAGATATTCAGGTACGAACAATGGTCGTATTTTTGTTATACTATCGATTTTGGTATGCAAGTGACGAATGCATGTACAATTATGATAAATGTGCTCCTTCTGAATCTTCTACGCGCTTGAGTTTACCTCGATAGTTGAGTATGAAAAAGTGCTCGACGAAGGATAGTTAAGAGTAATACGTGAAAATTCTTTCTCCAAATCATTTTTTTTTTTAATCTGTTGTGGTTTAAATTTTTTTTCCCTCTGTGAACTCAATATATAGCTAGTGAGAAAATTAAACAGATCATGTAAGTTGATGTTCGGTTCCCTTACAATACGAACGATATTAATTTGACCTTGTACAATACGTACGTGGCACGTGGGACAAAGAGTACACAAATTTATACCAGTTTACTTACATGTAAAGTATAAGAAATCCTTTTGTTATAATTTTCTTTTTCAGAACTACTCATTGTGTCAACTTCCAGAAGAGAGACAGAGAGAGAGAGACAACAATGGCACAAGCCTATCCTTCTAAGCAACGTTAGTTTTATCGTGATGGACCGCAAACATAAAGCAATCTTTTTTCTTTTCCTCACATTTTAATTTTCTTTTTGCCTATTCATTTGTGATCATAAAATAATTTGGTCCCATTTCATCCTACACATAATCACCTAATTATGTTGTCTCCCCACATCTTTCATGTGTAGTGCTACAATAATCAAGAGACCTAATAGTAGACCTATATCCAACCTACTACTATTCACAAGAAAATCACAGAAACAAATTTAATAATAACAAAAGCATATATTATATATAACTTTAATCACGGTACGTTACATATCGACAATGCACAGGCATCACAACGATCCGGCACTAACCACAGCTTAATTACACCATTAACAGAACCGTGGTTATCATCAGATCACGATAACCATAATAATCATATTAATAATAGTAATAATAATCGATTAAGCTGCAATTTTTCGATCCCTGCAGCTAGCACCACCTTCATAGTACTATTTCATCATCTGTTTTTTTTTTTAGTAGTTAGTTCATAGTTCCACTTTTATTATTTACAAGAAATTCAACATATATATGAATATTAAAAATCTTCAATATAATGGATTATATACGATCACTTCCAGAGATCAATCTGGCAGCTTGACGACGAATTCGAACCGTTCTCCGGCACAATTTTCTTCGCGACCAAACTCATTTCACCGTCTCTACAAAAATCGTCATTTTCCTTTGAAATCTTGTCCTGGCTTAGCTGTGAGGCCACGAATTTATCGAGCACCCTCCAATCAGTCAACTGATCTTCATCTGACTGGAAATTATGGTTCTGGTGAATATTCCGAGCAAGCCCTGAGCCATGCAGGAAGCTGTTCCCCAGGAGGGTCGGGTTCGGTGGCCCAAAGGATGGGATCATTGGTCCTGAGCCCATTCCATGTGGGAACTTCGGGCTTTCTAGATTTGGGAGCTGGAGGAAATGGTCAGTTGGGAGTCCATTGTACGATAAACTCGTTTCTTTCTTGCACGAGTTAGTAGCATCATTGTTGTTGTTGTAAGGGTATGTGTAGTGGAGGTTCGGTTGGTGTTTTGGGGAGTCGATTTCGGGCATAAACGATACGTGGTCTTCGTACCAAATGGGAGAGTCTCGTTCGTTAACTTTACGCATGGCGGCAATTCTCTTCTTGAACACTCGGCAAACGACCCAACCTTCTTCCTGTACCGACAGTGTCAACGATCATAATTGTTAGGTTTTTCTGAAACGAACAACTTTATTTATATATTTTACCAAAATTAATTAAGGGGAAAAAAAAAATTCTAACCTAAATTAAGGACATTTGTTTTTTTAAGTTCTTGCTAGAGGGATGAGATTCACTTTTTCATAGTGTGTGTTTGTGTGTGTTTTAAGGAGTGGTAACTAATAGATGTGTTATGCAAGCATTGCATGGTAATCATATAACTGTAATAATGCTGATGCCCATGCCTAAATCACACACACACACACACACACACAGCCTTTTACACATGCATCTTTTTTTGACCATACACCACCACACACAATAAGTGCCACGCAAAAAAATTCAAAAACTATTTTTGAACATTATTAATCACTATTATTTTAATTAAACAACATTTACTTCAAATATTTTTTAATAATTTAGAAGAATGAGAATACTTGCCTGAGGGGTTCCATTTTCGTCCGTCTCCAGACGATACTCGTGCATTATCCAGTCCGATTTTTGACCGTTTGGAGCCCTTCCTTGATAAAACACCAAAGTTTTACGCATCCCAACCAACTCGTGTTTGGTGTATATGGCCTTGTCGCGTCCCGTTGCCTTCCAAAAACCTGCGGCCGTGGCTCGGTTCGTGCGAGTGCCCGTTGGGTATTTTTTGTCCTTGTGGCTGAAAAAGTACCATTCGTTTTGCTCGTCTGCTCCTATTCGGCATAGCTCTAACGAAATCAAACGGAATATTAGCATCACATCATTTAGGAATCTTTATTTGTAAGCAAATTTTTTATGGTATATAGTTTAATTTGAAACACTAAATCTCGTTACCTTGAAGATCCCACGGCTCGATTTTGTAAAGATCGACATCCTTGATCACATCTAGGTCGATTCTCCTTCCGGTGACTTTTCGCCGGAGGTAATAGTCCACGAGTTCTTCGTCGGTGGGATGGAAGCGAAAACCGGGAGGAACGTGTGTTAGAGTGTTCATAATTATTTTCTGACTGTTTTTTTTTTTTTTTTTTTTTT